ATCAGGCACAGCCTGCTACATTAGCCTCCTTCTTTTCTGATTATGTGTAGTTCTTATTGATCAAGGGCTGCAGTCTTAAATAGTGCAGAACTCAGAGTTCAGATCAGCTAATTATAACTGACTCATTTCACAAGATATTATCCGCTGTAGCTGTGAGATCTCTCATTGAGAATATCTTTGATCTCTCACTTAAGCTCATTATCTTCTTCTATAATCCCTGGCAGCTGCCAGTTGAAAGTCAGTTAAGAAGAGAATGAGTCAGTGACAGCACAGTGAAGCAAGCTTATGTGAAAGATATCATGAATTTCTGATAATATATCAAGATGATAGTTATGACTATCTAGAACTTTCATCACTTTATACTTGATATAATAGTAATTCAGTGTATGAGATGAATGTGTGATCTGTATATTCTTAAGATTTAATCACACTAAGTCTTCTATCTTATATTACTCAGTGAAATCTCAGTGAACATTGATTTAATTCTCTTAATCTTGTTTCACAGTTGTCATGAAGATCTCTGCTCATTCACAGATATCTTGAAGCTTTATTACTATATTATCAGTGATCTGAATTGAACTGCAGAGATTTGATATAAAATATGTAATTTTCAGAAGATTTAATACTTTCATGTGATAACTGTGTGTAAGAAAGAACAGGCTTATATCTATTGAAATAGTATCTCAACTGTTGATAGCAATCTCTGTGTGTAGAAGAAGATTATATCAATTATCTTATACATGATTACAGAACTTATAAAGATAATTCTTTACAGTCTGAATTATCTATTCTGACGTATTATCAGTCTCAGAGTGATAGACAGTTAATAAATAGTATATAATCTTAAGAACTTGACAGATTCTTGTTCAGACAGTACTTATAAATTAACAGTCTCAGTCTGATATAATAGATTGTAACAACTTATGCATCTGATAGAATGAACTCTGTAAGAAGGTTTTGATAACTTATTCAGTATTTATCTTATTACAAGATTTCAATATTACATCTTTACTTAATCAGTCAATGATAATCAGAATGTTCTTACAACTCTTACTCTTAGATAGATTAACAGCAAAGTTAATTACTATATCTCACTAGATTCTATCAGAGATATTAAGTAATTTCAGTAAATCATTTCTATAATTCTTTCATGAGATAATAGAAGAACAGTAGTTGCAGTTTCAGATGAAGTGTCTGATACTGTTTAATATCTCAGATCAGTAGAACTCTTAGAAGATTATTCTATACAGTTGTTCACAGTCTGAATAATTAGTTATATATGCATAATGCATCTCTTACATTATTCAGATGTGTAAGGGTTCAGCGTGAGAAACTAAGTGTCATTTATGAAATTATAGAGCATTATTTTCATTGATTGAATATTCTGAGATATTGATTCTTATATGTAGTTCTGAGGGACATCAGAGTCCTTCTTGATCTACTGCTTTAGTGAGTGCTTAGAGAAGTTCATCAGTTTGAGCTGTTGTATATCATAATTCATTCAGTGTAGATGTGATTCAAAGGTTGCTTGAGCCAGCGTACAATTACAGGCATACGCCCGCTTTTTATATACGTTATCTAAATTAATTACTGGCCGTTAGGGCCTCTTTACATTCATAAGTGTGTTCAAAAGTGTGTTCAGAAACAGCTGTGTTATTATTCAGCAGTTGTATGTTCTTCTGAACCATATTCTCTCTCACCAGATTCAGTCACGCTCATGTGATCATGACATACACTCTAGCTTCATACAGATTAGTGTGTCACTAGCATTTGTAATAGTATAGTCTATCTCTGATTTGACTAGCATTCTGTGTACACTCTTATAAAGAAACTTTCACTATATTACATCACTCATTCATTCACTTTTTTCATTCTTCAATCATCTTCTTCATCATCATCATCATTGAATATTATTATCTTATTTCAGATTTCTATCTCTTTTTCTATTCAACACTTTCTATCTGTTCATCTATCATATTATACACTTTTCTGACAATGACTCTCTGTTTTCACAACAAGTGTCATCATAGTGCTCATACTGAGCAGTTTGTTAGCAGTGAGTGTAATATGTTATGAAATGTGACCAGAATCTGTTTATTCTCTAACAATTATCAGAATGTACTACTATGAATAACACATCTTCTTCATCTTCTTATACACTCTCAATCTTCTTTTTCTAGCAGGCATCTGATTGTGTTTTACATAATCACAGATACTGATATTTTATTTTAATTTATATAGAATCTTCACATGTTGACAGATCTATATCTGCTAATAATAGTGAATGTCTCAATGTTGAATTATTGATTGAAAACATGAAGAATGTGATAATAAAGAAATTATCTATACTATGTATAATCAGATCTTCTGTATCTCTCTTCTACTCTCTTTATTTCTTTCTCTGTTACTTCTTCTTAATCTCTTACATCTGCTTCTGTGTCTGATTCTCCTGCTTCTGCTATCTCTGTTGTTATAATTCTTACTTTTGCTACTTCTGCTCTCTCTGCTTCTACTGTCTCTTCTTTTATTATCAGCTCTCTCTGTTTCAAGAAGATATTGTGTAGACTTAATGAATTATATTTCTCAGTGTGTATACTTCTGCTCTTCTTATCAACTTTTAAAATAATTTATTATACAAAGACTGTATATAACATAACTGTCTGAAGCTCAGTCACAGATATCAATTATTACATTCATTTTAAATATTTATAATAAAATAATTATTCATTTATATCAGAGAATTATCTTCTTTCTCAACAGTATTAAGATTATAAGTCTTTTTCTTTTTCATTCTTTTCTTCTGACACTGATTTTTCTGTTCTTAGAAGAAATTATTATAAGTTTTATTATATATAAAGTTGTGATTTTCACAGATATCAAGAAACTTTTCACAATTATTAAATTTAATATTATGAGTATATCTGTTCTAGTGAATTTCTTTGAGATGATAGATCTGTATCAGTCTATTCTCTGATATCTATTATCTGACTTCATGATGCAGGTGAAAGATATCTGTATTTTCAGAAACAAGAACATGAATGTTATACTCTTTTACACTTATGAATGTGAGACTTGTACATCTTGTCTGAGATATCACCATGAGAATGAGCTGTTCACATGCTGTATTCTGCTTTCTGCATTCTCTCATGTCCCTCTCTCCCTTTCTGAGAAGCCTTATGTGTGTTGTAATTATGTGTACAATTCTAAGGTCAGTGAGTGTTCATTCAGTAATTATTACCTCTGTTGTTACAGTTTTATACACTAATAATTAGACTGACCGTGTGACCGTGTCTGGGACCAGGACCAAACTTTACAGTTGTCATGTTGTCTAAAAGCATTACTCCTGGTCATGATTTGTGTTCATCACATTGATTTCAAATCACATTATTTCAGATATTAAAGGTCTCAGATTCACTTTTCAAATAAAAATCTAGTCTCAGATAAAGAATATGTTTGAATTCTTAGTCACATTTTCATTCTGATCTCATTATTGAAAATGGCATCAAATGAGACTATGAAATCATTTCTCACTTACATAATATCATAATATAGTACTCATTTGTTGAAAATTCAATAGAGAGTATTATTAAATATCATTACTTTTCTGAACACAGATCATAATTAATATCATTTTAATTAAAAAAAAAATATAAAATACAAAAAATAATAAAAAAACAAAAAACAAAACAACAAGAAAAAATCACAACAAAAAAAAAAAAAAGAAAAGAAAAAGAAAAAAACAAAAAACAAAAACAAAAAAAAATCAAGGTCACAGAGCCACAGTATTTCTACTCAGAGCCTTCACAATGTTCATTATCAATCATGTATCTCTCACAGTGAGGGTAACACAGCTGCAATGAGTCATTGTCTTAATATCATCTAATAAATAATCAGTATATATCTATATAAATGTGAATAATTAGAAAATATACACTTAAAAAGTGTGATCAGGGTGAACTCTGCTGTCACTTGAATAGCATCAAGGACAGAATGCTGGAATCAATGATTTCTCTCATTGATTTCACAGACAAGGTCTGTGAAGATGATCTTGAGAAATATAAGATTCCCTGACTTCTGGTAAAAATAGATCTCACAGAGAGACTCTATTTTCATCATATCAGAGACTGAGTGTTATTAAAAAGCATTACTTCAATGCATATGTACTTACTGCAGTGATTCACTCTCTGCACATGTGGCTGAGAGTTGCAGCTTTTCCACACCACACAGCTCTCTCTGAGATGCTGCTGCTGGTTTGCAACTCACACAGTCTCTCAGTCCAGCATGTGCTGTGCATATGCAGCCCTGCGTGCTGGGGCTGTGTTGGCCATTATGATCTGGTGTGGTACTCGCTTTTCGCGGGCCATGTTTCATTTGATTGGGAGGGAAAGGGGACATGACTGCTGTTTTATTTAAGAGGGAATGAGTAATTGAATCTGTAGAAGATAATTTAGTTTCTTCTGCATTTGAAATTTAATTAGTCTATACTCTTCAATTTGAGAATTTCTGAGAGTGTTTTAATAGTTTTCATATCAGCTTGAAATTAGTGATTGATTGAAGAAGAGAAAAGAGAGAAGAAAGAAATGAGAATAACTTATCTTTATAATATGAAAACAGAGAATTGCTGCAATCATTTATTCTAGTAACAAAGATCTGTTTTCTGCATGTATCTCTGATACAGATTATATGATAACTGTATACAAAGAATATCAACAGTGCATGCATTGAATGAAGATGATGTTACTATACAACACTGTAGCTGTTTCTGTACATTACTGAAAGCTGTTAATATTTTCTTTAAGTCTCTTTATATTTGATAAGTCAGTAATATATTTCAATGCACTCTCTCTTTCATTATTATCATTATTATTATCATCATCATCACTATCATCACTATTACTATCATCATTACCATCATCATCATCATCATCATCATCATCATTATATCATTTCTGGCCGTCTCTTCTGTCTTCACCTTTTTTCAACACTCACTGAAACCAATCATGTCATTCTTCTTCAAATATTCTGTGATCCTGCGGATCACCAAGGCGCGTGAGCACCATCACAGATTGAAGAGAGAGAAGAAGAAGGCATTCAAGTGAGAGAAGACAGATTGTAAGACACATTATAATGCCTTGAAGAGGCTCTGTAAGAAAGTAGAATGATAACAATTTTAAGTAACACTTCTGATAGATTTAGACTGAACTAAGTATAGGAATAATATGAATGACACTGTCTGTGAGAGATTGAAGAAGAAGATAGTGAAGAGTCTCATGCAGCAGCAGTGAGATCAGAAGAAGTTCTGAGAATGATTTAAGACTAAGATGAAGAGAGAGAGAGATGAGAAGAGTGTTACTGCAAATAAGCAGCAGCAGAAGAAGATTGAGAGAGTGTTAAAGTGAGAGATAAAGAAGTCAAAACTGATAAGTTTTTTATTTATTGAGAGATAACAATTTTTGATAATACTTCTGTTCTCTAATTGATTAGCAGGAGCTGGCAGAGGAGAAGGGGATTGAGGCCTTGTTCAGGTCTCAAATGCGCTTCATGATTCAGAACATTGAGAAGGCAGCCCTGCTCTCTGAGCATGTCAATCTGCTTGTCACTGAGGTGGAACCTGAGACAGCAGACCAGAAAATGTGAGATTTTGAGACACAGATTGACCTGGCTGAAGAGAAGCAGTGAAAACCCTCTTCTGAGAAGGCAGTGAAGAGAGATTTTGAGATGATTATCATCTCAGATAAGAAGAAGAAGAAGAAGAAGAAGAATAAGAAGTGAATTATGAAGAATGATAAGAAGAATGAGAAAGAGCAGAAAGATGATGAGTAGAAAAAGTTTTTTTCTTTTTATATTAGTTAGTTATAAGTTCATAATTATTAATAATTAAAATTAATTTTGAGTTTTTAAAAATTATTGTACAAGTTGTAATCAAGTCAGGAATAATATATATATATATATATATATTTAACTATCATGATTCACAAATCACTATAATGTATAAGTATCAACATTTTTTCAACATTGATATTTATAATATTAATATATTTTTAATGATATCATCTGATAACATAATTTAATAACACTCTCTTTCACAATATTAATATATTTCAAGAAATATGATAGAGATTAATCAAGATTGTTTATTTACTTTTATACATCAATGATATCTAATCTGAGTTAGTACTAAAATTATAACTAAGCTAAGAAACAAGATTATTTTCTCTTATATTAATTCTTCTTACACACATCAGTGATCAGTTATTGAAAATAAATTATTATCTTTCTCAAATTATTATCATATCTTCTAAATTCACTTCTTTCACTTCTTTTACTTCTATTGAAGATTCACAAACTCTTCAAGAAATCACTGTGAATCACAAAGTCTATATTATTTACAATTCAACACAGAATGCTCTCTTTCAATTATAATAAATAATCACTTCATTCTTCACATCTGATTCCAGGCCATGAAATTTATGAAAAACTCAACACAAATATCAAGATAAACTATGAAATAATTATCAACAGATTGTATTGCAGATTACTGAAGAGTTATCTCTCTACTACAATCACTGCAACTTCATTCAGAAACATTCATCATGAACTAGTCATAGCTCTGAAGGAATTTTCTGACATCTGAAATCATCAGAATGTAGATAATAAAAGAAAAATAATCAGAAAATTACTACTGAGCTGATAAGTTACTCTATCAGATAATAATTTTTGATAATGCTAACTTTCTAATTTGAAGAAAATCATGCAAAAATAATCATGTATCAGTACTCTGATTTCACAACTCTTATCTGATAACTTCTGTGAACAATTACTTTACATATATATATCTCTGAATCTTTCTCTTCAATCAATTGAAAACCCCGAATTCCGAACACTTCTTCAAATGCTTAATTCAAATCTTCATATTTCACATTGATTCTGTCTTCAGTCCAACCTTGAGATACACTACAAAGTTAATATACAATATCTAGAATCAGAGTTGAAGAATCATTGAAGAGTATCTCTCACAGTGAATGCATAAACTAGTACAAACAATCTTGCATTTATGAGAGTTACATGTTATTACATTGATGAGAACTGAACTTATCAAGAGATATTAATTGAATTTGAATCATTGATCAGTAGTCATACTGAGGATTATATGACAGAGGTATTAATAACTGTGATTAAAAATGACTATTGAGATATTAGTCTCAGTCTTCTTATAATTACAACTGACAATGCTACAAATAACTACACTATAATGAAGAGCTTGAAGCAAAAATTGACTTTGCATTTCTGAAATGATAAACAAGGTCATATTCTCTGCATTGCTCATGTGATTCAACTTGTAGTATAAACACTGATAAAGAATCTTAACATTGAGATGAAGAATAATGAGATGACTGATTCTTGAAATGAGAATGAGATGAAAGTGATTACTCAAGTAACTTTTACATTCACTTTACAAAAGATAATGTTTTTTGACAATACTTTTTGATATTGCTTTTTAGTAATGCTTTTTGATAACACTACTGTTAATTTTGAATAGATTGACTAATAATTTAAATATCACAGATTCAAAACATTGCTAATGCAATTTATACCTTCTCTAAACAATAATAACAATTTCATGATATTCAATAAATAAACAAATCAGTCACATCACTGAATATGATACAGAATGTTAGAACACAGTGAAGTTCAACATATAAGATGACTGTTCAGACTCTTCAATTATATCAGATGATTAATCATTGAGTGCAACACTCTGATCAGGAAAAGATTCAGATATTGAAACTTTCTGATATGAAGTGAACTCAGTTGAAATATGTGATTGATTTACTGTTTCAGTTTTATAAGATAACAAAGACAGTCTCAATCACTCATACATCAATGCTGCAGTCAGCCTGATGAGTGTATAACAGTTTATTTACTCATCTTGAGAAGCAGTTGAATCACTCAAAAAGAAATTCAGTCTGAGATGATGCTATAGTGCAGGCTATTATTGCTGTAAGGAATAAACTGGCATATTACTACAGCAAAACTGAACAATCTTTTACAGAGTACTATGCTGTAGCAGCTCTACTAGATCCCTTCTGTTGAGTTAACATCTACACTTCTCAAGATTGAACAGAGGAGAAATAAGACTCATATGTCAAATTAGCCTGAGACTACTACAATGTCAACTATCAGAGATTTGAACAAGCAGATGTTTGAGATGTGAAGACAGTGAAATACAATTCCCTAGTAAGTAACAATCTTTGATAACACTTCATATCATATAGAACTATAATACTAACTTTGAAACAGAACTTGCATACATTGATTATAACTGAAAATCAGGCAAAACTACAGGCTTATAAAACTGAATTTGACTGCTATCTTCAAGATGATCTGATGAATTTACATGCTAAATCAATTCTAGAGTTATGAAAAATTGTTGAGAGTACATATTCAACTGTTGCACTGATGACATGTGATATTCTGATAATTTCATTGACAGAGATGAGAATGAAGTGAAAGTTCAACTCAAGTTGAGACATTTATCACTATCACTGAGAACAATTATAAGAAGAAACAATCAAGAAACTCATGATTGTAAAACATGAAATTATCAGACAGTTTAATACCTCTGATCACAGTATATCAGAGAAGTGTAGTTTTCATGAGAAAGTGAAGAATAAACTTGCACAAGAATGTATTTAGTTGTTTCATGAGTGTTATCAATAATCATTATCAAATTCTGATTATATAAGCAATCACTGAATGAACTGAATGGGACTGATTTTGATCTTCAGTCCCAGTCTCATTCTGATTTTGAAAGAATGATCATCTTTCACAGTTTATTCTGAGAAATTACTCTCATTTCACTGTTCTTGAATTAAATCTGGTCATTTTTCACGCCATTTCTCTCAGAAATGGTCCATTTTCAGATTTTTTTGAGGCTTGGTCCTGGTGGGACTCACGCCAAGAAATGTATGGGACCAGATCAAATGGGACCAAATGTGAAATTCATGGTCCCGCCGGCCAGTCTACTAATAATAGTTCTTAGTTACTTCAGTGTCAGAGATCATTTTAATCAAAGATGATAACACAGCTGAGACTACTCTCTTCTATTCTAAAGCTTCTCTCAGTGCTTTCTCTCTCTTCTCTGCAGAGAAGGTTGTGCATATATCAGATTATAAGTATTCAGTCTCAGATAACTCTCACTATTATTTATTCAGTTCTGTATCTTCTTCTTCTTTCATTTCTCTCATCTCCATCTTCTCTGCTCTGACTTCTGATTCTGTGAGTTTCATGCTCTTCTTCAACTTTTCTACATGTACATGTATGCATTTCTATATTGACATTTCAGTTAATCTTGTAATAAATGACATTAATGTTATACACAGAGTGATAGAGAAATTAGAGACATGTACAGTGTTGTTATAAGAGCAGCTTACAGCTCTTAAATCTCTTACAGATCTCAAGTTTTGAGATTTTCTTTGTTTTTAATGTTTTTCAGATGATGTAGCATTGAAAATAGATTAAATATATAATATATGAAAATGAATGAAGTGTGTATGATAACATTTGTCTTTTAAAGCTGACTCTTATAATTGATAATCAATTCATTATCTCTTCTCTTTTCTTATGCTTTTTCTTTGTCTGTAACTACTACTCTTATACAATCTCTATGTGATACAGCATTCAGTGACTAGATTCAGCAGCTTTCATCTTTTGTAATTCTATCTCATGTATTATACTGTCTCTCTTCACTCACTCAGATCACTACAGTGAACAGTTCATTAAAACTAATCTCATTCAATCTCTGAGTATTTTCAGAGATTGAGATGACTTAGTCTCATGCATCTGCAGATGTTTCAGGTGATTTATTCTCTGTTATCTTTATAATTGAACTGATGTAAACAGTTGAATTCAACTCTGAATCTCTTTTTCTTCTGTGATCTGACTCATATACAAGTCTGTCACTTTGAGATCACTCTTTGTCACATTGCATCTGCTGTCTGCAGTGTGTTATCATATAATCAGCTACAGTCTCATCAGTTATTAAAGTGTGATGTTTATCTGATTTCTTCATTACTTTTCATTCTTTTCTTATAATTATAAAAAGATTGAAATAAGTGAGATCATCTGATTTATAAGTATCTATGATTTCTCTTACTTTGTAAGACTTTTCAATTATAAGTCTCTTCTTTTTTAATACTGATAATAGTGCTGTAGATAATTATAATTCACTCAGATCTTATATCTTTATCTTTATAAGACATGAATTATTTATTAAGTTATACAAGATCTGTCTCTCTGATTCTTTCAATGCATATGTTCTCAGAGAATGTGATTTAAGTATTTTATATAACTCAAACCATCTAGATTGAGACTTCTCAGAAGTCTCATTGTATATAAGAACTTACATTCTCATCTTGAGACTTGATTTCTTAACTAGTGAGTCTCATATTATTTTTAATTGAATTGCTCAGTTCAGAAGTAACTCATTAGCATTTACATGTGTGTAGCTGATCTCTTTCAATCTTGATTCTATGTTCATAACTGTTATATCTGTAACTGTTGTTTCTACTGTGTCTGCAATCACTGTTCCCTCTCTCACCTTTTTCAAAGCATTCTTTGAGATGCGCGGATGCAAT